ACAACTACACTGATAGTAGTGACTAACGGTGATAATGATGATGAACATGAAGAAGATGATGACGACGATGACGACAACAACAGTTGACAGGTTTCTCATGCTCAGGAACCTTGAAGACAAATGTATCCGCCATGATGTCCCAGGTCTATGTCTTTAATATTTTTGATGTTTGAAGTTTGAGAGTGCAAGCGCCTCACAGGATCTTTGCAGTACATCGATGGCTTCAGCTTCTGTAGGAAAAGACTTCATCATCCACATAGAATTATCTTCCTATAAACTGCCATACATCGCTGCCATACATATTCTCTGCGTCTCATGCTGGCTTCCTCAAGCCAAAGATAGCAACAGCTGGTGAGGGACTGTTGCCAAAGATGTGAACTCTCATGCAGAAATCGGCAACCTCATTGTTGAAGTTGTTGTCATGAAACCACAAGTACTGCAGGACATCCCTGTCATTCTCTTGTACAGCAAAGCTGTAGAACATCTGCTGGATGTCTGCAGTGAGAGCAACTGGTTCTTTGCGGAATCGGAGGAGGACCCCCAACAAGCTGTTATTCAGATCAGGTCCTGACAGAAGCACATCATTGAGTGACACCCCATCAACCCGAGCAGCCGGGAAGCCAGGGAGGCTGGGTGACTGAACGGAGGAAGAATAAAACGCCGAAGCCCACAGTTCACCACCAACCCGTTCACGTTTCTAATAAATTTTCCCCACTCAGCGACACACCCGCTGAGAAACCAAACCTGATTATTGGCAGCTTAATAGTCAGAAACGTAAATCTAGCAAAGCCAGCGGCCATAGTTAAATGTATCCCTGGGGCCAGAGCGGGCGACATTGAATCGTATTTAAAACTGCTGGCTAAAGATAAGTGTAAATGTAGTAAGATTGTTATTCACGTCGGCGGTAATGACACCCGATTACGCCAATCGGAGGTCACTAAAATTAATGTGGAGTCGGTGTGTAGATATGCAAAAACAATGACGGACTCCGTAGTTTTCTCTGGACCATATATTATTATATATTGATATTGAACATTTGATAGTCTTCCCACAAAATCCTTTCCTATCTGACCATTATTTAATAACTTTTGAATTCCTATTACTAGATTATAAGCCATTAGTACAGTACAGTACAGTAGCTTAATTTAAGGAGGAGATTCCATCAGTGTTTAATTCAATGCCATGTCTGAATATAACAGAGTCCTATAATAACTTTAGTCCCTCCCAAATTGATAATCTTGTTA